ACACTAATAAAGATTTTTTTACCTCTCAATCATTGAGAGAGTCCAATTTGGCATTTTTTAACAGAAAAACAAAGCCAGAGTTTACCATTGCCTTATGTAGAAAGGATGTGTGAACAGATAACTAATGTTAACAAATTTCATTCAAAAAGAATAAACTGCTTTTAAGTACATCAGAGGCACTGCTAGAATAGGATGAAAACTGATATACCAATTACTAATTACTCTTTACTCTTCAAACTGATCCCCCCACAGGCTTCTATTTAGCAAATACTTTAAAAGAGACTGTGTACAGAAAAGGAATAAAAGCCTATTCATTTATATTTCTTTATTCAGTCTGGCTGCCATCCCAATTAGTTAAAAGGGAGGTTTCACCGGCCGTAACATGCAGCACTTGGTGTTTTCAAAGCACTACAAATTGGTCCCTCACTCTTCACACTACCAGCAGGAACACATGAGCATCCTCATTTTGCAAGGAAACCAAGGCCAGGAGAGGTGACACAGACTACTCCAGCTTCCCCCACTTTCTTGCCTCCAAGTCCAAGGTGGTTTCCTCCACCCATTCTCCAGATCCATTACCCTCTTGGGCCTTCTGGAATACCTCTCTCCCCACTTCTGCCTCTGACTTTGCAGACTGATGAAAATACTGCTTAGTAACACCCGTCTGAATCCCCTGTCCACACTGGTTCTTATGCAAGGCAGTGCTTTCTGTAAAAATATTCCAAAGAAGCCCTCAGCCACCAGGCCTGTGAGGGTCCCAGTTGCCCCTCAGCCAAGATTCCTCTCTCCTCCAGATCTCCACCTCACCAGGACCTCTAGGACACATGCAACTACTTCAGGAAACATTGGCGCTTCCTGCAATAAAACTAAAGCAGCCAACATTTATCAAGCACCTACTAGTTGCCACAAACTGTGCTAAGTAGCATATACACATTACTTTATCCTCAAAATAATTCAGCAAAAACGTACTCACTTTATACATGACAATATTGAGGTTCAGAGAGGCTAAGTGACTCGCCCAAGGTCACCCAGTTAGTCCTTGAGGCACTATTCATAACTCACATCTGTCAGACTCTAGAATCCATTTTATTTTTACTCTACTACCCTGCCCTGGTCACCACTCTGTAAGTACTTAGGGACCCACACCCAGGGAGAAAAGGAAAAGTGAGCCATTTCATTTTCACTGCCTGGTTCCAGAGTCACACTCTGCAAGGCTAATTCCACGTGTTTCACTCAGCCGACTGTCATCAGCCCAGGGCCCTGGGAAGCTGACAACAGGCAAAGGGCTCCCTGGCAGGCTTGTCCTGGCAGCTGCCCAAGTGACTTGTGCTAACACAGCAACAGGCACAGGAAAGGGTCTAGAGAGAATGGAAAAGCACCAGACACCTCGCCGCTGCGCTGCGGGGAGAGAAGAGATTCCTGCCGTGCTCCACAGGATAACCCTACTCAAAATCTACCACTGTCGTACAAGGCTGGGAAGAGTGGGGGATGGGAGCGCGGGAAGGCCAAGCGAAAAGCACCAAGCATAGCCACTTACTAATCGTGTCAGTGAACTGTGACTGCTAGTCCAGTCAAACAGAGAATCACATGCCTTCAAGGTGAATTGGCAAGCATGGAAGAAAACCAGTCTGTGCCCTGGTTCATCCTAGCACCCCTGACACCTGCCTTTGCCCACATCCACATTAATTCTGCTTCCTGACGTCACCTGAGCAGAGGCAAGAAAGCCTGCACTACTACACAGCTATCCAGCAGCAGATCTCAGCCAGCCCATGGGAAAGCACGATCTTGCTGAGAATATTAATAGACTTGCTGGCGGCAGAAATTCAGTGAGGACACACCCTAAGAAATGAAATTATTTAAAAGGGGCACAACTGAAGTGAAACTAGGAGAAGGGAGCAACTTGGATTTCCAGAAACAGGGCTTCCTCGACCACGTGCAGGGAGAAAGCACACCAATGGAGACAGCGTTATTCTAACACACATCTGAAAATCCAAAACTATCTGTGGGAAAAGCTTTTTGGTATTGTTTCTGAAGCCTTCCAGTCCTCAAACGTTTTTCTTAGGTTGATATTAAACTGCATATATATGCAGGATGCTATGAGCTAGTATTTGCCAGAAGTTGTTAGATTGCTAAAAATGCACACCTCTCAGATGTCATTAGGAGAGGGGCAGTTTGAGAGGTTGCAAATTGGCATCTGTTGGGTCAAATTAACCCTGCAGGTATGTTAGCATGCTTAAAATTTCTTTAATGCATTATCAACATTTAAAAATCAGAAGTCTACACACACACACGCCCCTGTAATTTCTAGCATCTTAGAAAAATTGGGAGGCCAGGTGTGGATTGCTTTGGGAGTTCGAGACCAGCCTGAGCAAAAGCAAGACCAAGACCCCGTCTCTAAAAAATAAAATAGCCAGGCATTGTGGCAGGTGTCTGTAGTCCCAGCTACTTGGGAATCTGAGGCAAGATGTAGTGAGCCCAAGAGTTTGAGGTTGCTGTGAGCTATGACATCATAGCACTCTACCAAGGATGACAAAATGAGACAAAGAGAAGAGAAAGCAAGCTGGTACCACTGGGTGAGCAGCACAAATAAGAAGATGCTG